CACAACCTTGAAAACTAACACATATATTTTAGCCCTCACTTGGAATTTTGTTTTTTTACGCTTTCGCTGAATGATATTTGCGGGTTTTCCCTATAGTTGTTATACGAATACCGGGCAAATTTAAATAAGGGCTACTTCCGGTCTCGCACACCTGCATTATTAACAATAATTGTATACATTATTTATTGAATTACCTGTTAAAATTAAATTTTATTGACATCTACTCCAACCCCAACACTAAACTTACCCAATACCCATCATGGTAACGTAATAATAGATATTATGTCAGAAGATTTATAATAGTTTTCACATATTTTCAGTAATAAACAACAGTAAGGGTTTATTTTGATGGCGAATTGTTTTGTGAAATTGGCATCATATATTGCTACACTCTTGACAACTGCCGGCGTGCTTCAACATTGATCCCTACAGTTTCCTTTTACAATGCTATATGAATATTATTATTACAAAAAAAGAGTAGCATGTGGTCACATTTATTTTTTGCCAAAAGTACCTACCATCAGAGAAAATGAACAGAGGCTTACCTGTTGAGAGTGTTGATCAACGATTGAGCTCTAGAAATTGGCAGTTTTGTCAGTTAGATTTAAAAAAAAGGCGGGAAAACTTAACAAGGGTTATTATCTTTTCCCCATTGTTCTACATAGCACGTTTATCAGTTCATGTTAAAACCATCCAAATTAATGGACATTTATATACAATGTTGAATTATATTGCAAATAAATATCTAAGAGACCTTAATATTTAGCATAATGTAAAACACGTTTTGGTGTGTATTTTCATGACATTTTCCTGTTGGGTTCTCATTACTGTAATTTACTGACAGTGAATAATACATTGTGTTTTGTCATGGCAGTCTTCATTAAACTTCTGATTAATGCTTTTATTTAATTGCTCTAAATTTGGTGAAAATTGCTAGCCGTAAACATAAACACTAGATGTTTATTCACTCATTTTCTTTTCGACCAAGTCTATTTATTAATCAGGGATCGCCACAGCAGAATGAGCCGCCAACTTATTCTGCATGTTTTACCCAGCGGATGCCCTTACAGCCGCAACCCAACACTGGGAAATACCCATACACTCTTGCACACACTCAAATACATAATTGCTAATTTAGTTTAATTCACCAGTACAGCATTTGTTTGGACTGTGGGGGAAACCGGAGCACCTGGAGGAAACCCACGAAAAAAAAGGAGAGAACATGCAAACTTCACACAGAACCAACAACTGGCCCACCCAGGACTCGAACCAGCGACCTTCTTGCTGTGAGGTGATTGTGCTACCCATTGCATCACCTTGCTGCTCCACACTAGATGTCATCTGAATGCGTCAAAAGAGCCGCCATCTTGGTACAGGCAGGGTAGAGTACAGTCAGTGTATATCTATGAGTCAGTTCATCGATTCATTTGGGAATGGCTCTTCTTATATGGGTCATGACAGTGTAATCTATGGAGCTCTACCCTGTAATATGGCAGCGATATCGAGGGATGCTCATATGCAATATCTAGTATATTTATGACCGCTAGCTATTGAGTTTACATCGAACAAATCAGAGTTAAAATGGCAAATTGATGAGATGATAAAGCTGTGGTAAATCTATGCTAGTCACACAATGCTGATGTTGATAACATTCACAATTTATTTCTTTAGCAATAACAATAATAAATCACACACAATTCAAATGTATCGCCATTTAAAATCTGGGTTAGTAATAATATATGCCTGCTACACAAAATTAGCCCTCTTTATTTATATATTTACACTGAAAAGCAATTTTGCTAACAAGCTACATTGCAAAACAGACAAGTAACACATTTGATGAACTATATTTAAAGCCAACTCTTCGTACTCGTATGCTCTTATTTACCAAAATAAATTAAAACTTAAAAATTGTATTTTAAATATGAAGCCATTATCCGCAGTTCACAAAAATAAGCTTTTTTTTTTACCATTATCACAATAAATCACCATTTTGATTACCAATAGTAAGTTTTAAAATACTTAAAACTGACTTGATATGTAATGTGGCACTGCACGGTATCAAACACGACACAAGTATAACAAAATACAAAATGTAAACAAGACAAGACAATTCCACTCGTCGTCCCTGAAAAACTTGAGAAAAACATTAAATTCTTAAAGACATTCAGTTTTGGTCTCGGCAACGCTTAGCATTTTACACAATCATGAAAATAAGTTAATTTTACTATTATTAACAAAAGTACATTACCATTTAAAATTGAAAACAGATCATTAAAGGACAAATATAGACTACAAACATAAACACAGCGTTCACTTCAGCACACAAACACCGAATGTATAAACGATCTGAAATTGAAAACACATTACAGTGCAGACGGCAGGGCTGTGGCGATAAATGGAATTGAGAAATTATTCTGCAGTTCATTTCTGAGATTGTCTGAACGCATTGCAATTATTGAACTCTCCAACAGATGGCGCTGTATGCCTTACACAATGATTTCTGTAAAAGCATAAATATGCTGGTTTGCTCAGATCGCCCTGAGTTTTGAATCTCTTTAATAGCTTGAGAGTTTTAAACAGAGTTTGTAGACAATTTGAATATGATATTTGTAAAATTAAAACGAAGAGTAGTAAATAATAGTCTCTTATTGTGCTGTTTAGCAGAGCCCACCATGGAACAAACAATATAAGTCCAGAAAATTTTAAAAAAGTAGACATATTACACTAAATATTTAATGAAATTAGATAGCTAGCTAATTGCTTTTGATAGATTATATCTGGCCAGCAGATCACTAGCATGTGGTGTTTCGAATGTTTAAAACAGTAAATCATTGGATCAGTGATTTCTCCCATCACTAACTGTTTGTGTAAAAAACTAGTTCAGCGCCATCTGCTGCTTAAACTAGCCTAGAGTGCCATGTGCTGTTAAATATAGCCTAGAGCGCCATCTGCTGTTAAAACTAGACTAGATCACCATTTGCTGTTAAATCTAGTCGAGTGCCATGTGCTGTAAAAACTAGCCTTGAGCACCGTCTGCTGTTAAAATGAGCTTAGAGCACCATCTGCTGTTAAAACTAGACTAGATCGCCATCTGCTGGTAAATCTAGAGCGCCATCTGCTGTAAAAACTAGACTAGATCACCATCTGCTGGTAAATCTAGAGCACCATCTGCTGTTAAAACTAGACTAGATCACAATCTGCTGGTAAATCTAGAGCACCATTTGCTGTTAAAACTAGTTTATATCACCATCTGCTGTTAAAACTAGACTAGATCGCCATCTGCTGTTAAATCTAGTCTAGAACACCATCTGCTGTTAAAATGAGCTTAGAGCACCATCTGCTGTTTAAACTAGACTAGATCGCCATCTGCTGGTAAATCTAGAGTGCCATCTGCTGTTAAAACCAGCCTAGATCACCATCTGCTGTTAAAACCAGCCTAGATCACCATCTGCTGTTAAAACTAGCCTAGATCACCATCTGCTATTAAAACTAGCCTAGATCACCATCTGCTGTTAAAACTAGCCTAGAGCGCCATCTGCTTTTAAAAAATAGCCTACTGCGCCATCAGCTGTTAAAACTAGTCTAGAGCGTTGTCTGCTGTTAAACTCTAGCCTAGAGCGACATCTTGTGTTAAAACTAGCCCAGAGCGCCATCTGTTGTTAAAACTAGCCTAGAGCATCGTCTGCTGTTAAACTATTCTAGAGCACCATCTGCTGTTTAAACTAGCCTAGAGCGGCATCTGCTGTTAAAACTAGCTTAGAGCGTCATCTGCTGTTAAAACTAGCCTAGAGCGCCATCTGCTGTTAAAACTAGCCTAGAGCGCAATCTGCTGTTAAAACTAGCCTAGAGCGCCATCTGCTGTAAAAACTAGCCTAGAGTGCCATCTGCTGTAAAACTAGCCTAGAGCGCCATCTGCTGTTAAAACTAGCCTAGAACGCCATCTGCTGTTAAAACTAGCTTAGAGCGCCATCTGCTGTTAAAACTAGCCTAGAGCGCCATCTGCTGTAAAATCTAGCCTAGAATGCCATCTGCTGTAAAACTAGCCTAGAGCGCCATCTGCTGTTAAAACTAGCCTAGAATGCCATCTGCTGTTAAAACTAGCTTAGAGCGCCATCTGCTGTTAAAACTAGCCTAGAGCGCCATCTGCTCTTAAAACTAGCCTAGAGCGCCATCTGCTGTAAAAACTAGCCTAGAGTGTCATCTGCTGTAAAACTAGCCTAGAGCGCCATCTGCTGTTAAAACTAGTCTAGAGCGTTGTCTGCTGTTAAACTCTAGCCTAGAGCGACATCTTGTGATAAAACTAGCCTAGAGCGCCATCTGTTGTTAAAACTAGCCTAGAGCATCGTCTGCTGTTAAACTATTCTAGAGCACCACTGCTGTTTAAACTAGCCTAGAGCGGCATCTGCTGTTAAAACTAGCTTAGAGCGTCATCTGCTGTTAAAACTAGCCTAGAGCGCCATCTGCTGTTAAAACTAGCCTAGAGCGCCATCTGCTGTTAAAACTAGCCTAGAGCGCCATATGCTGCAAAAACTAGCCTAGAGTGCCATCTGCTGTAAAACTAGCCTAGAGCGCCATCTGCTGTTAAAACTAGCCTAGAACGCCATCTGCTGTTAAAACTAGCTTAGAGCGCCATCTGCTGTTAAAACTAGCCTAGAGCGCCATCTGCTGTAAAATCTAGCCTAGAGCGCCATCTGCTGTAAAACTAGCCTAGAGCGCCATCTGCTGTTAAAACTAGCCTAGAACGCCATCTGCTGTTAAAACTAGCTTAGAGCACCATCTGCTGTTGAAACTAGCCTAGAGTGCCATCTGCTGTTAAAACTAGCCTAGAGCGCTGTCTGCTGTTAAAACTAGTCTAGAGCATAGTCTGCTGTTAAACTGTCCTAGAGCGACATCTGCTGTTAAAACTAGCTTAGAACGCTATCTGCTGTTGAAACTATCCTAGAGCGCCATCTACTGTTAAGGTCTTTCGTGCCCATGTCTCTATTCGTGCTTTTTCCTTGGATTTGTAAGTAACCTGAAAATAGCATTTATTGTGAACCCAGTATAAAAAATGATCCACAGTTTACAATCCGTTGATTTATCGCCCCAGCCCAAACAGACAGTAGCTTTAAAGCAGTTTTTCTGTATTGTTTTTGTTCACTCCTGTTGCTCCAGAATGAGCTCTGTCAGTCGGTTGATGTCTCGAATGTTGGGATGGCACTGTAATATCATAATAATCACGCTTTCCTGACCCGGAAAGATGGACACTAGACTCTGCCGCAGCCTCCTCGTCTCCTCCAACGACCTCTCGTTGACTTCCTCACCTGCTGATGACCCTTGTCCCCAGCCATGACTCCCTGGTGTCCAGTTGCGGTACTGCAGGCCGTCAGTGTGTGCTCGCGGAGCAGGAGCCGCAGACGACGGAGAAGATACACCGGCGAAGGAGTGACTGCTGGGAACAGGTGAACTGCTGACAAACAAACAAATAAATAAAATGGAGCTTCAAATATTTGGACACATTTTTGTCAGACTTCTAGAGCAGAGTTTTTCATCTGCCGGCAGAATTCAACGTGCACCTCAACTCTCCTGTTTCCACCAGAACTGTTGCTCTGAAGCTTCTCAGGGTCAATATACATGGCCGAATACTACAGCCAAACCTCTGCTCACTCATGCCAATGCCAAACGCTGGTTTTAGTGGTGCAGCAGTGAAGATCTTGGGTTGTGGACAATGTGGAACATGTGCTGTTCTCTGATGAGTCCACCTTCACTGTCTTTCCCACATCCGAGAGAGTTACAGTGTGGAGAAGCCCCAAAGACAGCAGGACTGGAGACAGAGTGGTTTGATGAACATGACAATGGAACATCTTTCATGGCCTGCACAGTATCCAAACCTAAACATTATTGAGCACTTTGGGGTCTTTTGGAGGAGCGAGTCAGGAAAGGTTTTCCCAAAAGAGTCAGGCTGCAGATTTGCACTTGCACGCTCAGACTTGCACGCTCAGGCAACCGCGCTTCCTCTGCAAGTGATGTCATTTACAATCGTCACCTGTGTCCGCTTGCAAGAAAGTCCTTTGGTAATTTAACTTAAGGGTGTCTCCATAGGCGGAAAAATCCCTGAGGTAATGGATTTTATTAAGATCGTTGCAACACTCTACTCTGTCACCGTTACTCAAGTGCCTTTTTTCTAAGCGTTTCACTGTAGTTTCTGCTAACATACGGCGATGCGCGCCAAAGTTGCTATAGTTACGTTAACAGGTCGTAACGAACCACGAATGCTTTCCTTACAACAGCTCTGCAGTAATGTTACACATCATCTGTGTTGCTTTCTTTCCGTTAAGCGAGTTGAGAGGTTACTTTATCGAGTCGATCTCAACATAATATTTGGAGGACCTATAAAACTGGGCGGGATCATGTAGAGAATGTGGCATCATGCACTCCTGCGCAGACGTGCTAACTTATCAACACGTATATATTAGTTTATTTATTAAATGGTTTTTATTAAATTAGTTACTTACAAGTGCTGTGCCTGTGAGTCTGTTATCTAAAACACTTTTTTGGGTAAGAATGCTTGCATTTTGAGTGTCATTTGTTCAAGAGAGCTGATTGGGTCCCTTAAATGTTTTAAGAGAAAATGGTTACTAAGGACTAAGGGGAAATACTTATGGCAGCCTTAAAATGTTTAAGTTGATCTTTTTGTTTTCCCCTTGCAAACCAACTTTAACCAAGGGTACTCTTAACCCTAAACTGAGGGATTTTTTGGTTAAGAACTTTCATGCAATCAAGCCCTGCACTCTCCTGCCACATCACTTGCATCGACATCTGCATTCTTGTTTGCAATCGTCCAGGCACCTGCTGAATAAAGAATAGTTTCCCAAGTCCTTCAAGAATCATTGCTGTAAGTCCATAATGTGTATCCGCTAGTTGTAATACTGCAACTCTATGAAATGTTTAAAATGAAAAACTAAAATTCTAATTTGCCTGGTGTGTGTTTTTTATTACCTGTGGAAGAATACCTTGTGTATTTAGACCTGATAGTGTACAAGTTAAGTACTTAGAATTATTTGACAGCGTCATCGCTCTCGAAGCAAACGAACTTGAAACTTACTTTTGGTTTATTTGTGTTGATTTCAAGTGAAGTGACAGGTGCAGGTGTCGATTGTAAATGACGTTACTTACATAGGAAGCATGCCTGCCTGAGCATGCAAGCCCGAGAGTGCAATTCTGAAGATGCAAGCGCAACTCTGCAGCCAGACCCTTCTCGGTTTTCCTCCAGCAGGATTACAATGACCTGGATACTATTCTAACGGTTTAAAATCTCTCTGGCTGTGTAACGGAAGCCAGCCAGTAGGTGCGGTGCAGGTAAACCTCACTCACCTCTAAAGGTGCTCTAGCGACAGACACTAGAGGCCATGGTCTTTAGCCTCCTTGGTAGAGTAACCGACTCCCATGCGGAAGGTTGCCAGTTCAATACCAGCTCAGAGCAGGTTGGGTGGTGTAGGGCTTGCAGGGTTACATTGGTGCCGTGACCCGGATGGGAGTGAGGTTTAGGGGGGTGAGTGTAACGGAGGCCAGCCAGTAGGTGCTGTGCAGGTAAACCTCACTCCTCTGACCTCTAAAGGTGCTCTAGCGACAGACGCTAGAGGCCATGGTCTTTAGCCTCCTTGGTAGAGCAACCAACTCCCATGCGGAAGGTTGCCAGTTTGATACCAGCTCAGAGCAGGTTGCGTGGAGTAGGACTGGCAGGGTTACATTGATGCCGTGACCCGGATGGGAGTGAGGATTAAGGGGGTGAGTGTAACGTAGGCCAGCTAGTAGGTTCTGTGCAGGTAAACCTCACTCCTCTGACCTCTAAAGGTGCTCTAGCGACAGATGCTAGAGGCCATGGTCTTTAACCTCCTTTGTAGAGCAACCGACTCCCATGCGGACTCGCCAGTTCGATACCAGCTCAGAGCAGGTTGGGTGGTGTAGGACCAGCTGCAGTGCAGGATTTGAGTATGTCATTCCCAAGGCCAACTGATTGGCTGTATTGGCTGTAAAAGGAGGTCCTACACCATACTACTGAATTCCTGTGCTCTAAAACCAGGCGTTTCAGGCTCATTGTCCAACTCCTGCACATTATCTATCCGTGCTGCACTTACTGCTTATATTTGCACTCAGGTTAGATGCATTTTATTAACCTGTACTGTGCATGTGTGAAGACAATAACAGTTTCATCTAATCCAACCTAATATAGTGTTTAAGCTCAAATCACTGATGATCCAGCTCTGATGTGTGTTTTTATTTACCTGTTGTGTTTATGTAGAAAGTCTCTCAGGTGTGGCCCACCGCGACCCAGCGGATCATCAGGTAACATGAACTGATCTCCAGCAAACACATACTGCAGCAAACTGAAGAAAACACACACACACACACTTACACACCTGCACTAATGTAAGCGTTGAACATGAGTTTACAAAGCTCACCTTTTCTTGATGATGTCTCTCCACGCGGGCGACTCGTCCACTAGATCTCTCAGGTTGTCATTGGTCACAATCACTCCATTCGTCTTCTGCGCCAAATCCAGCATAAACCTGGAGAAAAACACTCAGTACTTGAAGAAACGCTAATTTATACTGCCTCATGCCAGTGCAAACCCCACAACACTGACCATTACTTGTGCCAGTTACACAGGTTTGCATCAACATGAGGGAGTGTAATGGAAGACAGTAATGATTTTGTGTGCTGTGTTGAGCTGATGGTGTTGTGTTGAGCTGATGGTGTTACCTGTCATCATATGAGATGATCCTCTTGCCCTCCACCTCTCTGGACGGTGTGTATGACAGCAAACCCAGATCATGCAGTTCATTCAGGTAGTGCTTCTCTGCACAAAACACACAACAGCTCAGGTCACACTAGAGTAAATGCCTTACACTGCTCTGATTGGTCCAATGACCTTGTTATGCTCTGATTGGTCTAATGCCCGTACAGTGCTCTGATTGGTCAGATGAACTTAATTCATTCGAATTGATCAGATACTTCACTCTGACTTGTTTGGTGACCCAACTTCACTCTGATTAGTTAGATGACTCTACTTTGCTCTGACTGGTTAAATGACCTTGCTTTTCTCAGATTGGTCAGATGACCCCACTGTGCTCTGATTGGTCAGATGACCTTTAATCTAATCCTTTGCTTTTCTTGCTCAGTTGGCCCTACTTCACTCTGATTGGTCAGATAGTTATGACTCAGTCTGATTGGTCAGATGCTCCTACTTTGCTCTGATTGGTCAGATGACCCCACTGTGCTGTGATTGGTCAGATGCTCCTACTTAGCTCTTATTGGTCAATGACCCTACTCCACTTTGATTGGATAGATGACCCTACTGTGCTCTGACTGGTTAAATGACCTTGGTTTTCTCTGATTGGTCAGATGACCCCACTGTGCTCTGATTGGTCAGATGACCTTTAATCTAATCCTTTGCTTTTCTTGCTCAGTTGGCCCTACTTCACTCTGATTGGTCAGATAGTTATGACTCAGTCTGATTGGTCAGATGCTCCTACTTTGCTCGGATTGGTCAGATGACCCCACTGTGCTCTGATTGGTTAGATGACCGTACTTTAATTTAATCCTTTGCTTTTATTGGTCAGTTGGTTCTACTTCATTCCGATTGGTGAGATGACTTTGTTATGCTCTGATTGGTCAGATGACTCTAATGTTTTCTGACTGGTCAAATGACCTTGCTTTTCTCTGATTGGTCAGATGACCCTACTGTGCTCTGATTGGTTAGATGACCTTACTTTAATCTTTTGCTTTTATTGGTCAGTTGGTCCTACTTCCCTCTAATTGGTCAGATAGTTGTAATTCACCCTGATTAGTTAGATGCTCCTACTTTGCTCTGATTGGTCAGATGACCCCACTGTGCTCTGATTGGTCAAATGCTCCAACTTTGCACTGATTGGTCAGATGACCCCACTGCGCTGTGATTGGTCAGATGTTCCTACTTTGCGCTGATTGGTCAGATGACCCCACTGTGCTCTGATTGGTTAGATGACCCTACTTTATTCTAATTCTTTGCTTTTATTGGCCCTACTTGACCCCACTCTGATTAGTCAAATTAAGGTGCTCTGCTCTGATTGGTCAAATGGCCTTGATTCACACTGACTGGTCAGATATTCCACTGTGACTGATCAGATGGCCCTACTCTGCTCTGATGGCTCTTAATCTTGATTAATGTATATGGGTTAAAATAAGAGTTTGGTCATCGAACATTTTAAGGAATAGAGAGAGAACAGATTTACATTCAAAATAATTACTACAAAAATTCTAATATAATGAATATTTCTCACATATTTCTTGATTTTTCCTGTTTGCTAAAATTCAATTTGATATTTCCGCCACATATAAATGTGTGTAGTAGTGTTTGTTCAGTGATCTTCAGTGTTTCTGTTAGATTAGTTGATCAGTTTTGTCTTTGGTTCTGACTAATCTAATGTATCTGCACTAATATATTACTGTAAAGCAAATATTCATGTACAAGAGAGATCAGTGAAGGGTGAGCTCAATAATGCTGAGCACTGTATATATGAGCGTCACCTTTAATCTTGGAGTTGTTCTTCTGCCTCCACTGCGGGACGAACACCATGATTTCTCGATGCCCTTCAGCCCAGAAGTGCTGGACAGCCAGAGCGATGCCTCGACAGGAGAAAAACACCCCCAGACCATGACTGCGGACCACAAGGATCATTTAGATAAAATAACAGGATTTATCTTGGTGCTTTATACTGGAAATACCTTTGCCAATAATCACTGGGTTGCCAATAATTTCACTCCCAATCAGTATATTCCTGTCTCACTGTCCCTATGCTAATATCAGTTTTCATGAGAGAATATAGTGATAGTTATAGTGTCATTTCTAAGGAGTCTTACTCATTATCAGGTTTGAAGGTCTCATGAAATGAAAATAAAGCTTTTGAGATGTTAGTGTCAGTGTGTTGGTCTTAGAGATATCTATAATCTAGTGTGCTCAAAAACAAAATTCACATTTAGAAGATATAAACCTATAAACATCCAAAGCTTGAAGTTTGTCACTTCCGCTTAAATGGATCAAGGAGTTTTTTTTTTAAGTCAACCCATCATACTTTAGTTTCTCATCAAATCTTCTGTGACAAACTGCAAGCTTTATATCAGGTTTACATCGTATAATGTGAATTTTGTCACTGTTTGAATTTCTCACATAGCAACTGGAGAATAACCACAACATATTAATTGGTATAGTTGTTGTGTTACCATGGCAACTGTTGAATCACCACAACAGATCAATTGCGATAGTTGTTGTGTTACCATGACAACTGTTGAATCACCACAACAGATCAATTGCGATAGTTGTTGTGTTACCATGGCAACATTTGAATCTCCACAACAGATTAATTGCTATAGTTGTTTTGTTACTATGGCAACTGTTAAATCACCACAACAGATTAATTGTGACAGTCTTGTGTTACCATGACAACTGTTGAATCACCACAACAGATTAATTGCTACAGCTGTTGTGTTACCCCAGCAACTGTAGAATCACAAAACAGAATAATTGCTATAGGTCTTGTGTTACCATGGCAACTGTATAATCACCACAACAGATTAATTGCTACAGTTGTTGTGTTATCATGCCACCTGTAGAATCACCACCACATATTAATTGCTACAGTTCTTGTGTTACCATAGTAACTGTAGAATCATCACAACATATTAATTGCTATGGTTGTTGTGTTACCATAGCAACTGTATAATCACCCCAACAGATTATTTGCTATTAGGGCTGTAACGATTCGCCAAACTCACGATTCGATACGATTCATGAAATAGTCACTATTTTTTTACAAAATTATTTGAAACAAATTTAAGGTGAAAAGGCCCTTCATTTTTTTCTTTAATGCAGCACATTTTTGCAAAATATAATATATTTTCTGCCATAATGAAAATTATTAAAATATGCATAAACTAATGTGAACAGAAGGGGGGAAAATAGTCTAATAACAACGTTCTATACAGTATGAATGTAAGAAGTATGAATGGAATTCGGACGTACTACACCTGCCAATTTGTCATGGTCACATGACCTACCTGCCTCAGTTGCGTCGCTTTACTCCCATTCACGAATTCTCCCGTGGGGCATCATGGGATAGCGCAGCGTGCATGGGATGCGCACTCCAGAATCTCACCGGAAGTATTAAGTCATCCAGGTACCTCTTGCATACTGATTTTCGAATTTGTACATACTACTCAGCTAGCATACTGATTTTAGCATACTATACAGTATGGAAGTATGCGGTTTCGGATGCAGCAATGGTGGATTGTTACATCCTCAATTGCTATAGTTGTGTTACCACAGCAACTGTAGAATCACCACAATAGATTAATTGCTACAGCTGTTGTGTTACCATGGGAACTGTAGAATCACCACAGCAGATTAACTGCTACTGTCCTTGTATTACCATATCATCTAGAGATTCACCAAAATAGATTATTAGACCATTTTGAGGGATATAAACAATAACAATGGCACTAACGTGCTTCCTGTTATACATTTTCAATTTCCGTAGCTTCTGAGAATCCAAAAAAATCGATAACTGTAAAATCACAACAGATTAATTGCTACAATTGTTGTGTTACCATGGCAACTGTTGAATCACCACAACAGATTGCGACAGTTGTTGTGTAACCATGGCAACTGGTGAATCACCACAACAGGTTAATTGCTACAGTTGTTGTGTTACCCCAGCAACTGTAGAATCACAAAACAGAATAATTGCTATAGTTGTTGTGTTACCCTAGCAACTGTAGAATCCCAAAACAGAATAATTGCTATAGTTGTTGTTACCATAGCAACTTTTGAATCACCACAACAAATTAATTGCTACAGTTGTTGTGTTATTATAGCAACTGTTGAATCACCACAACATAATAATTACTGTATTTGTAGTGTTACCATAGCAACTGTAGATTAACCACAACAGATTAATTGCAACAGTTGTTGTGTTATCATAGCAACTGTTGAATCACCACAACAGATTAATTGGTATAGTTGTTGTGTTACCATAGCAACTGTAGAATTGCTGCAACAGATTATTTGCTACAGTTGTTGTCTTACCATAGCAACTGTTGAATCAGCACAACAGATTAATTGCTACAGTTGTTGTGTTACCCTAGCAACTGTAGAATCACAAAACAATAATTGCTATAGTTGTTGTTACCATAGCAACTGTTGAATCACCACAACAGATTAATTGCTACAGTTGTTGTGTTACCATAGCAACTGTTGAATTACCACAGCATATATATATATTGATAAATAATGTTACGATAGCTGGCATAATGCTAAGTTATGATTGAATCGACTCTTGTTACAATTAGGCAATAGTTTGAGAACAAGCAGGAAGTGTTCCTGGGCCAATGACATCACTACATTGAAATGGTCTATACTTTACTGTAGTATAGATTTAAAAACATGCGTAGGCTTTCATGTGTGTGTAGAGGTGTGTAAGTGTACCTCATGGCCACATTGCTGCCGTCGATGATGACGTGCCGCAGCTGAGCGTCTCCAGGCTGGTCCGACAGCTGCAGACTGAAGGGTTTCTTCAGGCCCTCCAGGAACCGCTGGGGTCCCGTCACCACAGACGCCACGGCCCCTCGCTCTGGCTTTGCTTTAGGTATAGTATTCGAAAACTTCGCTGAGGTAACATCCAGGCTCTGTTTGACATTCGGAGGCGATTGGCTGTAGGAATTCACTGGGTGAATATCTGAAGTCATGTTTTCCCAGGAGTACGTCATCTGCGGAGGGCCCTTGACTGTGGATCCAGACCCGGGAATGCTCACCGGTTTGGAGGACTCATGGTTTGAGGCTCTGTTTCTGCTCCCAGGGTCCAGGTTCTCAACATATGACCTAGACATATGCAGATAACAATTCAATATATCATGATAATTAGTGCTGGGCAAAGACTAATCGTGATTAACTGCAACCAAAATAACTTGCACACTCAAAAGATGTATTGATAATGTAGTGCAGGGGTGGCCAACCCTGTTCCTGGAGAGCCACCTTCCTGCAGATTTCAGTTGCTATCCATATCAAACACACCTGAACCCATTATTTAGGACCTGAACACCACTGATAATTACAGGCAGGTGTGTTTGATATGGGTTGCAACTGAAATCTGCAGGAAGGTCGATCTCCAGGAACAGGGTTGGCCACCTCTGACGTAGTGCATACTGCATTTGTAGTGGTGTTTCAAAAAGCTTCTGCAATGAAACGCAACGATAAAATCGGATATTGTCATGAACCGAATCTGACCTTGAATTTTGCTCAGTTGTCCAATCCGCTTGCTGGCTGCCATTTCTGAGCCCATTGAAGTGCGCGTGCTCCTGTTTCTGCAGCTGCATGAGCAGCTCGTGAGGCTTTATCTCAGGCAGATTCCCGTACACCTCCATCACATGCTCCTCCGTGTACCCGCAGGTCGCCGCCGCCGCCTTCAACACTCCCAACACAAAGTCGTCCTGTTTAGCATCAGTTTGATTAGCCTCCGGTCTCTCCACCGCGTGCATTTCTCCAGAACCGAGCTGGTTTTGCTGATCGGTTTTGTCCTGCTCCTGCTGGATTAAATCGAGGAGTTGCGAGGCTTCTTTAGGGCCGGTTCGGGCCAGAACGCTGCGCACCACCGCCTCTGTGAAGCCCATAGCGGTGAAGAACTTGAGCAGGTGCTGGAACTCCTCTCCGCATCCGCTGCTTTCCGGCGGCCGGTCAGGTTGTGGAGGCTCTGGAGTCTGAAAGTGTCTTGAGTCCAGGGTGAAACCTTGGGGAAAATGAAGGGTAACACTTTAACCCTTGTGTGTTGTTCAAATGTCAAGCTGTTCAAACCCTTTTGGCCCTGTTTACTTCCATTATGATGAGATTTTTTGATTGTAAAGCCATGACAGCACATAATCATGCATTCCTGATTGGGAAGAGGAACAATGTGTAGCACAGAGATAATGTTCTCCAGCTCTCTGAAACTAACCCTTTCAGGCTTTGATCCTAATTGTGGTGTTTTGGTGACTGTCGCTTTAAATGCAAATGAGATTGTGCTCTTTTCAGAAGAGGGCGGAGCTACAAATGCTTACGTGTCATTATAGTAGCGGCAGTGTATATGTTGTGAGTGCTGGTCAGGTGTGCATGTGTGCTTCAGTGTCAGGGCCGGAGCAAGCTGAACTGCCGCTCTAGGCAAAGGACGATCACGCCGCTCTCAACCCGAAAGTGAAAACGAAAGTGACTGGTTATCAAAGTCGCGGATGAAATTGAAAAAAAAAAGGTGAGGGGGGGCATGGATATAACTGAGAACGCGGGTGGTTGAGGGAGGTGTTGCGGACGCCGCCCACTCTATTCTGCCGCCCTAGGTAACCGCCTAGGCCGCCTCTATGGACGCGCAGGCCCTGTTCAGTGTGAGTGTGTGCTTGATGCTTCTGTCAGTCTATGTCGCTCCTTTCGCTGTTCATCTCGACATCTATAATCCTCTTAGTCTATGCTTTTGTTATCTTCAGCACCTCAAACGCTCTAACGGCTAATGGACAGACGGCTGCTTCTCACTCAGGGCTGTTGATTATGCTAATGAGATGGAGAGATGGGCACCAGTGGGCGGGGTTTATCCCCTCTGATTACATGTACAAAAGAAAGAACGTCAATTAAAGTGTTTGAATTATCAAGTCTGATTATATAAAATAGAATTAATTCATGTTGACCATTAGAGGCTGGAGATATTCACACACTGCTGACACACACAACAGTCATTTCTGCATAAAAGCTCCTCCTTCTTGAAGTAGCTTACCCAAGAGTGGCCGCTGTGAATGTGAGCTCTCTGCGCTATTATTATTATCAGACGCTTCGTGCACTCCTCCGTTCTCCTGCAGTGTGGTCGCCGCGTCCTGCAGTGTGTGTGTGTGTCTGTTTTCTGGGTTCTGCAGTGTGCGAGTGTGTGTGTTTCCGGCCAGTCTGACCAGCTCCAGCAGCGCCTCCTTCACTCGCACCGGCAGCGCCAGCAGCTCCAGCGTGTGCCGGTCTTCCAGTTCCTCCACCAGTGTCTTGAAGGCTCGCCGGGACTCTAGGGACGCCCCTGCGCTGTCAGGACGCCGCCCCTGCCCGCTGCGGTACTTCTCCACCAGGTCTACGATGAAGGAGAAGGCCTTCACTACAGGCTCCGTCAGCCCGCTGATCAGGAGGAATCCTGGAGAACCCACCTACAGGCAGAAGAAACAGTTCATGTCAGCACTGCTAGCATTACGGTTAGCATGTTGACATATTCCAGGTGTTGTGGTGACCTGTGCTTTCCTGTCTACACTCTACAGAGCTTTTGTCATTCATTTATTTCTTTTCTTTTCGGCTTGGTCCCTTTATTAATCAGGGGTCGCCACAGCGGAATGAACCGTCGACTTATCCAGCACGCGTTTTACGCAGCGGATGCCTTCCAGCTGCAACCCATCGCTGGGAAATGCTTTGTATTAAAGGTATAAAAATAAATAAATAAATAAAATGTAACCATTGTGTTTTCACAGAAAAAAAATAGTAATATATATACAAAATATATATATATATATATATACGGGGGGGGGGGGGGGGGGGGCTGGGTGGTACAGGTCCAATGCCAACATTTTGAGAGTGTAGCGGACGATACTAAAAGGGGGGTTGAGGCGAAGGAGAACGAGGAGAACAAACTAGGTAGGGAGGGAACCAAGGAGGGGGGGGGGGGGTGATGGTTGGTTGTAGTCATGGACGAAAGTGAAGAGCCCCAGGGGGGTTGGAAGGGCCGAAAGTGAAGAGCGCCCCCTCCCGCTCTTTTGAGAGGGGTCTGGTGGGCACCTAATAGTATCTCTAGAGGCCTCATAACGCTGTTGGCCCTTACAATCGTCCTAAATTAATCAGTCGAATTATTTGCCAAATTATTAAATGTTGGACTTTAACTGCAGTTTGGCTCTTTCATTCAGGGAATTCATTCATGTCTCTCGCGACAAACGAGATATTTGATTCGAGGAGCTGCTGCAAGCGTGTAATCTTCATGCAATGTTTGATACCGCACGGCGAATGAGAGAAAAAAAAAACTCAGCATTTCCCGGAAACTTAGATGCACACGGCAGGTAGTGTCAGAAAGCCGCGTGTGTTATTCCGGTCACAAAATGCGGTGCTAACATTTCTGCACTCAGTGCAATAGTAAACATAATTCGATACGAACAAACTGAATAAACAAAGAGCACTGGACGCTCACTTACCAAATCTGTAGAGACAGGACAATCACCAGCAACTAGAGCCGCGTCTTTATTAAGAGGAGACTACAAGCGAATCCGGATCTCAGCGTTTGCAGATGAGAACAGCTCTCAGGTAAACAATAATCCTCCTTAGACACGCAAGTTATTGTTGTCGCGCGTCGCGTACACTGTTAATCCACACGTGACTCCAGCTGAGCTCTCACAGAGAGAAAATGAAAACGAAACTTAACTGCAGCAAACTATAAAGCAGCACTTCACGCTTGTTTTGCCAACACAACGTGGCGTCTTTGTGGTGTAAACACGGTGACAATAATGAATATTTTTGAAGTTGTACAATAGAGCGCGCTGATTGGTTTGACCCAAGCCTTACTCATGCATTAATGCAGCACACTGTTAGACGTAATAAGACACACTCTGGTACAGACGTCCAGTCTGCACGCTGGAATACACGCTATTATCTCATGACCGTGACGCAGCTTCAAAAATTAGTTTCAAACAGGAAGTACGAATTTGCTTGTAATAATGCAAAAACAACCAATTTACACTTTTTAGTGAAATATAGGTGTCCTAATAGTGTTTTTAGCAGTGTGGGACACATATACCACTGTCAACAGCTCAACACATGTGTTTTGGTGTTTCGTGACCCTTTAAGCTATATTTGTTTACAGAACAAACCATAATTAAAGCTGCAAGCAGCGATGATAGGGACCTCGCACCCGGGCTCACTGCCGCCCGGTGACCTTACGATGACAGAGAACAGCGAACAATAATAATTTAAGCCAATATATTTTAAAAAATCTAAGAAAATCACAGATTTATGCCAAACTTCCTCCTGTCAGCAGGTGGCGCTATAACTGTGACTTAAGATTGGCATGTAGATGTCTTCCGGAGAGGAATGTTATCAACCATGTGAAGTTTCAGGCACATGGGACATTTTGTGGCTGAGTTATAAGCCAAACTATCTTCTGCCAGCAGGTGGCGTTATGACTGACTCAATATTGTTATGTGGATGTGTTTAGGAGAGGACTTTCATCAACCATGTGACATTTTAGGCAGATCTGACATTGTGTGGCCGAGTTACAAGACAAAATTTCTTCTGCCAGCAGGTGGCGCTATGACTGACTCAATATTGTTATGTGGATGTGTTCAGGAGCGGACTTTTATCAACCATGTGAAATTTCAGGCAGATCAGAGATTGTGTGGAGATTGTGTTTTAAGACAAACTACATTCTGCCAGCAGGTGGCGCTATAAAAGACTCAATATTATTATGTAGATGTGTTTAGGAGAGGACTTTCATCAACCATGTGACATTTTATGCAGATCTGACATTGTGTGACCGAGTTACAAGCCAAAATTTCTTCTGCCAGCAGGTGGCGCTATGACTCTGTCTCAATAATATTATGTAAATGTGCTCAAGAGAGGACTTTCATCAACCATGTGAAGTTTCAGGCAGATCGGACATTGTGTGGCCGAGTTACAAGCCAAACTACCTTCTGCCAGCAGGTGGCGCTATGACTGACTCAATATTATAATGTAGATGTGCTCAGAAGAGGACTTTTATCAATCATGTGAAGTTTCAGGCAGATCAGACATTGTGTGGTTGAGTTATAAGAAATTCCTGTTCCATGGCGAAGCGTTGAGGTTTGTCATGCCGCCACGGACACGCCCCTCTGCAAAAACTCTAGATCTTCACAATATATCATCGCTAGAGCTTTCAGATGACACCACTCTATTTTGGTGCTGATACGGGAAAGTTTGTGGAAGGAGTTTGTTACAGTGTCAAACATGTCATTTCCTGTGGCCAGCAGGTGGCGCTATAACTGTAACTGGATATCGGCACGTAAACCTGATCAGGTCAGGACTGTTATTAAATGTGTGAATTTTGAGGCAGATCGGATAATGCATGCCAGAGTTATAAAGACTTCCTGTTTTGTGGCGAATCATCAAAGTTTGCGAGGCCGCCACGGACACGCCCATCGATGAAAACTCTAAAGCTTCGCAATTTAACATCACCAAGGCTTTAAGATGACAAAACCCAATTTTGGTGTTTATCAGATAAAATCCCTAGGAGGAGTTCGTTAAAATACAACACCTGAAAATGGCAAAAGCGCCACTTTTTCGCCATAGGAAGTTAAAAATATCCGACTTCCTGTTGGGTTTGAGATATGGCTCCAAGAGACTTTTTCGTATGTTTTGCCATGTTTGAGGTGTGTGCCAATTTTTGTGCATGTGCGTGATTCGTAGATCGAGGGCTCGTCCGTTTAATTTTTCTAGGTGGCGCTGTCGAGTCATTTTGCCACGCCCACTTCAATATTGTTATGTGGATGTATTCAAGAGATGACGTTTATCAACCATGTGAAGTTTCAGGCAGATCGGACATTGTGTGGTTGAGTTATAAGGACTTCCTGTTCCATGGCGAAGCGTTGAGGTTTGTCATACCGCCACGGACACGCCCCTCTGCGAAAACTCTAGATCTTCACAATATATCATCGCTAGAGCTTTCAGATGACACCACTCAATTTTGGTGTTGATACGATAAAATTTGTGGGAGGAGTTTGTTACTCCGTAAATCATGTCATTTCCTGTGGCCAGCAGGTGGCGCTGTAACTGTATCTGGATATTGGCATGTAAACGTGTTCAGGTCAGGATGCTTATCAAGCGTGTGGATTTTGAGGCAGATCGGGTAATGCATGCCTGAGTTATAACGACTTCCTCTTTTGTGGCGAATCGTCAAAGTTTGCGAGGCCGCCACGGACACGCCCATCGATGAAAACTCTAAAGCTTCGCAATTTATTATCACCAAGGCTTTAAGATGACAAAACCCAATTTTGGTGTTGATTAAATAAAATCCCTAGGAGGAGTTTGTTAAAATACAACGCCTGGAAATGGCAAAAATGCCACTTTTTCGCCGCAGGAAGTTAATAATATCTGACTTCCTGTTGGGTTTGAGATATGGCTCCAAGAGACTTTTTCGTATGTTTTGGCATGTTTGAGGTGTGTGCCAATTTTCGTGCATGTGCGTGATTCGTAGCTCGGGGGCTCGTCCGTAAAATTTTTCTAGGTGGCGCTGTCGAGTCATTTTGTCACGCCCACTTCAATATTGTTATGTGGATGTGTTCAAGAGATGAGGTTTATCAACCATGTGAAGTTTCAGGCAGATCGGACATTGTGTGGTTGAGTTATAAGGACTTCCTGTTCCATGGCGAAGCATTGAGGTTTGTCATGCCGCCACAGATACGCCCCTCTCCGAAAACTCTAGATCTTCACAATATAACATCACTAGAGCTTTCAGATAACACCACTCAATTTTGGTGTTGATACGATAAAATTTGTGGGAGGAGTTTATAACTCCGTAAATCATGTCATTTCCTGTGGCCAGCAGGTGGCGCTGTAACTGTATCTGGATAGTGGCATGTAAACGTGTTCAGGTCAGGACTGTTATTAAACATGTGAATTTTGAGGCAGATCTGATAATGCATGCCTGAGTAATAACGACTTCCTCTTTTGTGGCGAATCGTCAAAGTTTGCGAGGCCGCCACGGACACGCCCATCGACGAAAACTCTAAAGCTTCGCAATTTAACATCGCCAATGCCTTTAGATGACAAAACCCAATTTTGGTGTCGATCGGATAAAATCCCTAGGAGGAGTTCGTTAAAATACAACGCCTGGAAATGGCAAAAACGCCACTTTTTCGCCGCAGGAAGTTAAAAATATCTGACTTCCTGTTGGGTTTGATATATGGCTCCAAGAGACTTTTTCGTATGTTTTGGCATGTTTGAGGTGTGTGCCAATTTTCGTGCATGCGCGTGATTCGTGGATCAGGGGCTCGTCCTTTTAATTTTTCTAGGTGGCGCTGTCGAGTCATTTTGCCACGCCCACTTCCGAAGCCCATAATAAACGTAAATTTTCGCCACTTCTGAGGCGTGTGCAAAGTTTCGTGAGTTTTCGGGCATGTTTAGCCCCTCAAAACCGCGA